CGAGCCCGAGCCGTCCACGAGCCCCTATTTCACGAGCCGAGCTGACGAGTCAAGAGTCGGCTCGGTCCAATTGACATCCCTAGATGCTCTGATAATTATATGGTAGAGAAGGCTAATTGTTGGAATATTATAATCAAATAAGAATATAATAGTGTGACCCTACTATACCATCTAAATAAAATTATTAATTTGGATAATGAATGATGTAAGGACAAATAGTTGACAGGTAACAACTCTAAGGCGGCTCAAGTGCTCAGCTTTGGTGGAATGACACGATCAAAATCATATTATTCCGTTAAAAATCTGTTAAACAAGAACGAATGAAGCAACAAAACCTTTTGAAGATAGGGGCTATTTTCTTGTGACTGTTAGCCCATCCAATAAAATTACAGTTGTGCCGACTCTAAAGCACTTATTGTTGTACATTCGTATACCTCTTTTACAATGAGGGGATCCATAAATATAATATTTATGTGGGGGCCCTCTCACATTGTGAGAGAGCAATACACAAAAGTTGTGTACCAACAGTGTACAATAGGTTTAATTGATAAAATTATTAATTTGGATTATGACTGGCCGAAAATGTAAGGACAATTCGGTAATAACTCAAAGGTGGCCCCTCGCACAGCAAGGTTCCCTATTTTGGTTTGAATAATACCATATTTAGAGCGAAAACTATCGGAAATCGTCATACGTAGTATATACATAACAGTTTCTTATTTGATTCATAAGACAATAGAAAAATATCATATTAATGTATCAAATAACAAACTACGATGTGTATACTACGTAAGGCGACTACCGATAGTCTTCATTATAAACAGTATTACTCTTTTGGTTTTTATCAATATTTTGAGAATTAAACCGATCCAGTCGATTTTGATTGAAAAAGTCGAGGATCAATCCGTCTAGAAAAATTTCAATGAACTGCAATGGTCAATTACATGGCAATTTATCCGGACTTTTGAGTGGTTCTTGATGTATTCACATGTAATCCCAATCTACTACGTTAACATTAGACTTCTTAAACCCTTGTTTGAGCCACATTATTATTATAAGAATGTATATTTAATTAGTGTATTGATGAAAAATTTGTGATTAAAAAATAAAAAAAAGTTTTGAATTTACGTGCAATATTTATTCACAAAAGAATGTGGAGTTGAAATGATATCAAATCACTATTTAAAAATATATATTTTTGAAAAAATGTTGGTCAAACAGGGCCTATGTCTGGGCACCATCTTTTCCAAGCAAAATCTCTCTCTCTCTCTCTCTCTTCCTTAACTTATGAAAGTTGAGTATAAATTGTGAGGAATAAATAGTTGGGGAAAAGATTGCAACTTTCGGCAAACCACAATATCTTTTAGACCCTATTTGATTTAGGTAGTGATTCTAATTAAAATTCAAGTCAAAGACAACAATTAATTTTATAGTAATTAGCACAAAACGTCCACACCTTTCAATGTCAAAACGTCCCACCTTTAATTTTTTGACATTTTCACCCATACATTCATATTTCATTGCAAAAATCATCATTTTTATCCAATTTCGCATGTAAAATGATAAATATACTATCCTATTTAAATAAAACAAGAAAAATTAAATAAAAAATTGTAGTCATACTCCTAAACTTTTTAAAAGTGCAAATAAGTCCAATAAACTATTAAAATGGTAATTAGTCCAAAACGTCCCCACCTTTCAATATTGTTGTGCAAAACTTCCTTACCTTTCTTTTTTAACATTTAAAAAATAAAAACTAAAAAAACAAAAATCACTTTTCTTCTTTAATTATTTATTTGAAATTTATTTGTACTTTTTTGAAAATTTTGAGAGTATAGTTACAATCTGTTCATTTTGTTTTGTTTTGTTTAGTTTAAAAAATGAAGGCATGTTTGTTATTTTACAACTTTTAATTGAAAAATGAATGAAAATGATGATTTTCAAAATAAAATGTGAATGTCAAAAAAATGAAAAGTAGGAACATTTTGCACAATAACATTTAAAGGTAGAGACATTTTGTGCTAATTATCTTTTTAATAATTTATTTGAACTTATTCACACCTTTTAAAAAAGTTTGGGATTATGATTGCAATTTGTTATTTAATTTTTCTTTTCTTTTCTTTATTCATTTAAATAAGAGGGTATATATGTCATTTTACATTAGAAACATGAGAAATTGGATGAAAATGATGATTTTTACAATGAAAAGTGAAGATAGGGACAAAAATGCCAAAAAATGAAAGATGTGGACATTTTGCATAATAAGTAATAACATTTAAAGGTAAGAACATTTGTGCTAATTACCTATTAATTTTAACCACGTCTTTCATACCACAACTTTTTAACCACGCGTTTCACCAACTTTTATCAAAACCTACTAAAAATTTGATTTTTATCTAAACCAAACAAGTTCTAAAAGTATCTCCAAGAAACTCCTTAAACATGAGATACTCTCTATTTTAAAGAGTCGACATTTAAAATTATGTTCTAAAAAACTCTTAAATTAACATTTTTAGAGAGTGAATTTTGAAAAGTCAAATTCACTCCATAATTAAATACATTTAAAGTGTTTTAATTTTCAAAGTAGTAAAATTATATAATAATATACCAAAGTTATTTAAAATAAAGGATAGAAAAAAATAATAAATATTTTTTTTTGAGTAGTAAAATTAAGCATTAAATATAAAAAACTTATGAGAGTACTTCAAAATTTTAACTTTTCAAGTTTATAGATGCTCTCTAAATAATATAATAGAAAATTTCATAAGTAAGAGATTAAGTACGGCATATTTCAAAATTAAGAAAACAAGTTTCAAATTTCAAAAATCAGATTTTTAATAAAATTTATTTATAATTTAATTAATTAACTAATTAAATATATTTAGGTCATAGATCTGTACAATTTGGTAACAAATTAACGATTTAATTAATCAATTATTATTTTTTGATCACAAATCAAAAATTTTATATTACAAATTATTTTACGATCACAATTCAAAAATTTTGTAACTCACAGTTTGCTCATCAATCACAGATTAAAAAATTAATTAGTTACAGATTAATTTTTAGTTACAACTTATCAATTTATTGGTCACAACTTATTTTTTGGTCACAAATAAAAAATTTCATAGGTCACATATTGTTTTTGGGTCACGAAAAAAAAATTATAGGTCACAGAATCAACTTTTATTAGTCACAACTCATTTATTCATTGCAAATTATCAAATTAATTGGTCACGATTAATTTCATCAGTAACGAATCAAGTCATAGTTTATTTGTATATCACAAATTTTCAAATTAATTGGTCACAACCTCATTTCTTCCCACCGCCACAACCATCACTATCACTATTACTACCACCACCTCAACGGAGCACAGTTGCCAACAGAGCCCCCACCACCTCATGACAACCCATCAACACCACAACACACCACCATCAACACCATCTCACATTCAAAGCCACCTGAAAAACAACCACCAAACAAAACCATCACCACCATCGCAGACTTACAGTCACCTCCACAAAATCTCACTCAAACCACCAGATCCATCACACAAATACTATCACCACCATAGACCGCCCACAACACTGTCACCACACAAACACCACCGCCATCACCACAGTGCCGCCCACAACACCATCACCACACAAACACCACCACAGCACCAGTGTCTTCACAAAACCTAATAGCGTTGCCCACACCACCACAGCTGCGTCACCAACACCAACGGCTCCCTAGAACCACAACAGAAGTGCAACGCCAACAGAGGTGCGACGGCAACTCCGCCCATAGAGACTCCAACTCCACCCATTCTTCACAGGCTTGAGAGACCAGAGTGACGAGATGTAGAGAGGGAATGGATTTGGGGGAAATTATTTGGGGGTGGAAGGGGGGTTAGGGTTAGTTTATATATTAAATAATTAATATAAAATTTTTTTATGATTTTTGAAATTAATTCCCATATGATTTTACAATGTTGAATACTTAAAGTATGGTATTGTGTAATTTCCACATAATATAATATGCTCCTTAAAAATAAAAATTCTCTGTCTCTTGCTCAAAGTTTCATTGTAGAAAAAAAGTGGGGAAAATTATAAAAGAGAGAAATAGTGCACTACTCCATCCATGCTCGTATATGCCTGCCTAATAAACCTGTACAAAATCATGGTGGGGATTAATGACAATGGTCAAAGAAACTTGACAATCCAACAAGTTTATCTATACAACGTCAAACCTTGAACTCCCTTTTGATTCTTCTTCTTCTTCTTACTTTGCATTTTCGCAAATGTGAGATCCGAGCAAAACCACACTTCTTTCTCTTAACACAGAGTTGCTCGTCAGCATTTTCTTTCCCAGTTTTCTTAACGGAAAGTGGATCAGTATTAGGTTTGCCAAGCATTTGACCCAGGGAAACTTGCCTTTGTTCTATTCTGGCTGCATCCCATTCTCGTGTTCTTCTTTTAGAAGCAGTTTCTGGTTCAACATTTGCCCAATGAATAGACTCGGCTTCAAAACTGGTTTTGACTCATTACCAAACAAATCCATATCACTTACATCAAGCAGGGAAGAATCTTTTTGAAGGTGAGATCGACAAGAATTCTTAAATTTAGTAGAGTTGTATGAAGAACGTCTTTTCTTACCACGCTCATATCTCCATTTCCGGAGTGCCTCTTCAACTGCCAATTTAGCTTTATTTGCCACCTCCACTCTATTCAACGATTCTTCCAAGACCTTTTTGGTAATTTTAACTTCTTCAGTCGCCTCTTCAACCTTTTTCAAGATTTCTGTTTTAGACACGTTAGCTTCATTGAAAAGAACTTCTGCATCCATTACCCTCCCTTTACAAGCTTCCTCCACTTCTCGAGCTCGGGAAATTAGGGATGAGTATTCTTCAAGAGTAAGAGTTACACTTCCTGACTTCTGCTTTGAATACGCAGATGATTTTTCACCATTTGACATTGCTTTGATTTCTGCAAGAACCACAGCTTCAGAAGCTTTTGCTGCTGACCTCAATTTTTTAGCAGCCACCAACTTTATCTCAGCAGTTTTAATCCTATTTTTTGTCTGTTCAATCTCTAACGTTGCCCTTAAAACTTCTAATCTTGCAGCTTCTCCCGCTTTCTTAAATTGTTCCGCCTCATAACTCAGCTTTTCTAGCTCTCTTGCGACATTCAAGGGATCATGAGATCTACCGAGGTCCTCAGTTTCTTTTACCAGCTGTAGTTTCTGGCTTGTAAGATCAAGTTCTTCTTTGAGAGACAAAACTTTTGAGGTACATGAAGACAACCCTTGACGAGTCTTCTCGAGCAACACTCTCTCTTTCTCAATTTTCTTGTTATAGAGGTCAACTGTAGCTCGAATATCTGCAAGATCATTAGAAGTCCTCGTTAAGTTTAGTTTAGCCCGTTTCAGTTCGAGTAGGATGAAACCTGGAGCCAAGGAAGGATACAAGTCCAAACAGCCAATCCAATTCTGATGAACATTCAAGCTGTTTTCATGACTTTCTTTTTCCGATATGCCAGCAGAAGCAGAGTTTACATTAGTATCAACTGAATTTGCAGCGAGGGTTGCATTGATTTCAGATGTTTCTTTCTGCAGCTTCAATTTCAGATCTTCGACAACACACTTAGTGGTTTCCAGTTCCTTGAGAACATCGAGTGTTTCCCTTTCTTTAACAGTCAGATCCCTTTTCAACCGTGCAGCTTGTTCCTCTATTAGTGCAAGGTCAACCATTTCATCACCAAGCTGCCATTTACAAACATTGGGAACGCCAATTTTAACAGAAGATGAAAGTTAAAACAGGAATACAACTAAATGCCACCCGAAACGTAAATAGCACATCATGGTCATAATTAAAGAATATGACACCATGCTTGAGTATCTGAATCAATGACTCGTATGGAGTGGTAATGCACATCAGTTTATTGACTTTTAGCAGAATAATTTTCAGTAACACGATGAGCAAAAGACACTTCCGTTTGGATTATTTTTGAAAAGTTGAAAAAAAAATGCTCACCAGAAGTCCAGTATCCAATTGGTTTAACTCCAAAATGTGGATCATCGCAGTCAATTATAAACAGAGAGCATTCGACTCCATAACATAATTGGCCATGAACAAGAAGTATAAACGCATAAATGATAAATGTAAATCACCATTCTCTATGCAATATACTCAGGTAAACCCCCTTCACCCCAAAATAAATTTTAAAAAGATAAAACTGAAAGTAAGCACAGAAATATCCAAAACATATCTCTGAAGAAACGGCTAATAAATAATAATAAATACAATTAGTGAAGAAGTAAACATGAATAAAATATAGCCATTATTGGAATGTATAAAAATAATAAATTAGTAAACAACACGCAATGCAGGAATCAAAAGAAATGGCACACTGTAATTCATCATATCGAGAGAGAGAGAGAGAGAGAGAGAGAGAGAGAGTGTGTGTTTGTGTGTGTGAGAGAGAGAGAGAGAGAGACCTCAGGGGCATGATCAGGGGGCTTATGAGAGGTGGGTTTCCAAAAACCCATCCCACCGAATCGACTCGCCGCCTCCTTCACCGATTCGAACGGCGTGGAGGTGTCAATCTCAGCCCTGGAGCTCCCCTTCTCCGAAGCCGGTTCAGTTCCAGAACCCACTTTCGGACACCCATCAATCAGGCCTCCAGCCTTGGCTTCTAGGGTTTTTGAAGCCATTTGAAGAGAAAAATAAATTCACAATAAAATCTTGAAAGACTGGAAAATGGTATGTTGAAGTCCGGGTGAAAAGATTAATGGCGTGTCTGGGTGGAGAAGAAGAGACTGACAATACTGTTGAGGACGAGAGTAACGTTGACTTTGACAATGTCAAAGTAAAAGTATGTGTAACGTTTAGATTCTTTCATATAGTACCGCTCGAACACGCCCGAGTAGACTTATTAGTTGTTGGACTATCAAAAGTGTCGGATCAATCTGTGAATGGTTCGATCCATTTTGAATTAATCCTAGTGCTTGTTTTAGAAAACCACTATAATTTTAAGGGAATTTTTCGTAGATTTCACTAAAATTTGTCACTTTTATTAATGGTGCTAAAAAAATAGGGAAAATTGCAATCACGGCACCAAACATTTGGTTTATTAGTAGAGTTTGTCCAAACCTTTCATTTGTACCAACGTGAGTACCAAATCTTTAAAAAATTTGCACTTGAGGTCTAAATAGATGATTTCTGTTAGTTTGACTGTTAGTTGACCCAATAAATTGACTTTGACCAATTTTATAAGGGGTAAAATTGTAACTTCGAAATAAAAATAAAATTAAAACACAAGAAAAACAAAAAGCAAAAAATCAAATGCCATTCACTGTTCATCTGCACCCTCCTACACCCACCCCCACACCCAAAAACCATTGAATGAAATCTTCTTCTTCCAAGCACCCATCAGACGATGACTTAAAATGCACCGCCAAAAATTCACCTTCATATTTTTTGAAATTGCCTCTTTCTTCCCCTTTCAATTTCATCCACAGTGCCCATTTCTCAGAAACCAGTCAATTTCAAAACCCAACTTCATGTTTACTCACAACAGCAACTTCAAATATTATTCGTGAAGTTCATAGCTCCATTGATAATTTTTTTTAAATGCTACATGTTTTCGCATCCCAGAATGCTTTTGTTGATAAATTTCTTTCATTTTCTTATCGTCTTTCAACTTGCCACCAGGAAATTTTAGCTTTTTCTGAATATGTAAATGGGTACGCTTTTAGGCCACCATCGGCGTTGAAATTAGGGTTCTTCAAGTTAATGTAATCGAGTATTAATTTTACTGATTAAGTTTGTTACCTCGAACATCGATTCAAAATTATGTTTGTAATTTGGAAAACATTATAGATTATAGATTTATGCAGGAATGGGGTGTGGGGGTGGGTGTGGGTGTAGGAAGGAGAAGATGAGCAGTGAATGGCTTTCGATTTTTTGCTTTTTGTTTTTCTTTTTTTTAATTTTATTTTGAAGTTACAATTTTACCCCTTATAAAATTGGTCAAAGTCAATTTATTGGGTCAACTAACTGTCGAACTAACAGAAACCATCCATTTAAACCTCAGGTGCAATTTTTTTTAAAGATTTGGTACTCATGGTGGCACAAATGAAAAGTTTGGGCAAACTCTACTAATAAACCAAAAGTTTGGTACCGTGGCTACAATTTTCCCTAAAAAATATCGCTTTTGATGTGAAATGTCCAAATTATCCGTAGTGATACCATTTTGGGAGCATTTAATGCTTATCAATGCTTGATTTGAATGTCTATTAATGTTATGATGTGATGATTTAATTTGTGTACTGTGAATATTAGACATATGTATATTATATTGGGTAATATTATTTTTTTAATAAAAAAAAGGATTTTGAAAAGTGAGCATAAATCGTTTTCTTCTACCCCTAACAATCCTAACTTTCTGACCATTTTTCCACTCCTTTGTCAAAAAGAAATTACAATTGGATTCATCTTCCATTTTGGGAGGTTATCATATTAGAAATTATTTATATTCTTATCTTATAATTTACTACTTTTAAAATATTAAATACAACGTGGTCATATTTATTTGAAATCTTTGAAATTATTATTAATTGATTTCTTTGGTTTGTTAAATTTTTTGAAATAAAGATATCAATATCCTCTATAAAATGTTGTGAATGATTCCATATTTAATGAAATATTGAGTTATTTATTTGGGAAGATATTGTCATGTTTTAGTTGAAAATTAATAATCACCATTAATGTTTTGAATAATTTCTTCCAACCAAACCCAATAAATGTTTTGAAGGATTGCCTCTTTAATGATTCAATGTGCAAATTATTTTGGAAGAAAATTTTGTCATTTGTTAGTACAATATTGATGACTGTACTTAATATTATGAAGAATTTGTTCTAATCACATACAATAAATGTTCTTGCCAGTTCCAACAGTTCAACTATCGAATTCAACAATAGAAATTGTCGAGATAGACATTTCAACTGTCGATTTCAGTTGCTTGCTACTTTATGGATTTAAATATTCGAATATGCCACTTTCATACTATTAAATGCTGACATAATGATGTCAGAATTCTTACCATTACAATCTCAACTTTTCAGGTATGAGTAATTATTTGAGATTTATTGTTTTGCACGGAACGAATAGAAGTGAAGGGGAGACAAACCACTTCTATTGTAGTTTCAACAAGTATCACCTTAGTCGGACTTGTATTACGACTGAAGGGCAAACTTGGTATTCTCGATTAAGGGTGAACGCAGTTCGATTTGGACGGTTTGGACTATATTTTCAACTAAAATCATTTTATGCAGTTTGAAATTTTTTTAAACCAAACCAAATCATTTTATTTTTTGAACCAAACCAAACCATAATTTGCGGTTCGGTTCGATTTTAATCTGCGATTTGCCTATCGACATTATAGTAATATATTTAATATAAGTTAACATATAAGTTTAAACGACAACTAATAATATTAAATTACATTCATATTTACCATGAAATCTATGAATAAACTATTTTAAAAGTTGGTTGCTAAAAAATGTTAATAGAACAAATACATATTTCATCATTTTTAATTACCCTTTCTTGTTTGACATTCATATTGTCATATAGCAGTTAGTAAATGTAAAGTTACGTTCTACTATTATAGTTTAGTTAAAACTCATTTCATCTTACTAGTGAGATATTAAATAAGGATTGAACGAGATATATTCATATGTACAAAGATTGATAGAGTTTTGGCTTAATGGGAATTGACGAATTTCATTCTCTAACTACTTTATGAAAGTAGAAGGTGGTAATAGTTGTGAAACTTTAAATTTTTATACAAATAAGTTCATTAATCATCTAGGCACACCAACAGTTATTTTTCTATCAAAACCACAATTCACAAGTGTATAATAAGTTCAAAAATAACAAATTAAAAAAAGAACAACAAAAAAATGATTTGAATGAGAATTTGAGACTTATAGAAAGAGAAGAGAAAAATAAACAATTCAGGTAGACATTAGCAGACTAACAGGCAAAGGAGACTAACGATTCATTCAATAGTGGCAAACAAGTGTCAAATGTTAGGAAATGAGAGTTTATGCTAGGGCTTCTGAAACTTCGGAAGTGATTTGCTGACGTAATTTTATTGAATTATGGTTTGGATTGTTGAAAATATATTTTTTTTCATTTCATATAATTTTGAAATAATTTTAGTTTAGTTTAGATATCAAGTGAGGATATGTCGTGAACTTATTAAATTATATGCCAATAATGACGAAAAAATTTACTTTCTATGATTATTTCAATAGGTTTCTTGTAATTTGGATTGCTAAATTAGTATTTTTTTCTGAAAAATGAAAATTGTAAAATTTTTAAGTCAATAAAATTAATGTTTTGATTAAAAAAATTTAAAAATGGTTTTGTTCAATTTTGTGCAATTTTTAAAAACGGTTTGGTTCGGTTTGAGGGAAAAAACCACGGGTCTACGTAGACCCAAACCAACGGTTTCGATTCAATTTTTAGTTTCGTAATTTTTTTTGTGCAGCCCTATTCTTGATCCTGACACTCATATTGATTTGAAGTTTCAAAGTTCCAAACACGAATATATCTCCGATCGAAATATACAAAGATGAAGATCTAAATTGGTACATATTAGTTCATAAGGAAACTGTATGCGTTACTATTTTGGAAATTGAGCTTCTAATTATTGACATGGGAAGGGATGCGAATTTCCAAAATTTTTCGATTGTTGCGGTGGAAGTTTACCGAAATATACAACATGAAGAGGTCGATTAAATGTAAAGTATCTCAAATGATAATGCATCCGAAACATTAATTTTGTATATTAGAGCAAACAAAACTCACAAAACCGAACCACGTGTTTGGATGTTCCAACATCATTCTAACACAACTCACGTCAAAATAGACTTAATGTCCGAAAGTGGTTGAAGTTGCATTTTGCATGACCCAATATGATATTGTATATTTTGAAGTTATATTATCATTTTCATTTCATTATCGTTTGCAAACATAAGTCGTGTAGCAATAACTTCACAAAAAAATTCTTACATAGACAGTTCAACTATCGGTCCTGACAGAATGTTTCTATTCCAAACTTGTCCATGGTTGTTTTTTGCATATGTCAGTCACAATGCTTGCGTTATACATTTTGAAGTTATATTATCATTAAGCTTGAAATTGCCCCTTTGTGAAAAGTGAGCGCGCAAGCTTTATTTTTGAGAATTAGGAATAAAATTTATTTGCAAGAACAATGTATAACAAGAAAGCAAAAAATGTCGGATTTTAATAATTCATACATGTTAATGCAAAACACTCATATAATGTTCAACTAAACCAAGGTTGGACATGTCGACAAATGATTGCAAACTAATTTGTCGAGAACGACGGTTCATTTCAACAGTTGATTCAACTGATCTGTCGAGATTTAGTCATCTATTGAGAATAACTAAAACTAGCTGTCGAGAATGAAAGTTCATCTAGTGGCCCACGAAGGACATCAGCATAATGTTAAGTACCGACAATTTGTACAAGACTACAATCTCATTGGAATTAAGATTACGTTATGGTCTGTCGCTATATCCATGACCTAACATGACACTAATATTGCCATCATAACCATAATTCAATATTGCTAATTCAGGCGTGTTGAAGCATTAAGGGAAAGAAAGAATATTCATTTTCAGTACACCGATGCCACAAGCCATCATCTACTACTGGCGTTAACACTATCAATATTAGTACTACATGCACAATTACTATCAACAGAACATCTCTATCAAAATACAATATGCAGAAAGCACGAATAAACTCACATCAAGAGTCCAACCAAAAAAAGTTAAAATAAATTA